TTTTCCTGTGTTTTGATCTTAGCCTTGTTTATCCAGTTCTCCTGTTTAGCCGTCTGCCTTTTGACCTCTCGCCTGTGTTTGACTACGATTCTGGACTGCCTGTATAGATCTGTTTGCACCTGTGTTGACCATCGCTTGCCTGACTTTGAATAAACCTGCATTTGGATCCTACCTTCTGTTGTTGGTGTCACTCCCCGGCGTTACAATGAGTAACATATTATCAAGTTATTATCCTATCATGACAATGTATGTAAACACTTAGTTCCTTTGCATACAGTAAGTTGCATCTATACTTTGCTGACATAGACCTGTAACATCTCTGTTGACATGAGCTAGTGGGCTGAGAGCCAAGAATAGCAGGACCCTTTAGACTAGAAACCTATTCAAAAATGGTCAAGAGTTAAAGCAAGACACCTAGGGGTGTGGAAAATAACCTGTATAAAGATTGTGGAAAACACAGAGACTTGAGAAGGAGCAGAGAAAGAGAGAACCAAAGAAAGGAAGTGTCCAGGAGAGACTTCAGAATGCTCTGGGGTCTGCTCTGCACTTTCTCGGCTTTATTATGGAGAATAAAGTCTATTTTCTGATATTCAAAACCTCCTGTCTGATAATTTCTAATTGATAGGAAGTCGAATTACGACAGAAGCAGCAAAATAATTGTGTATAAAAAGCCAACACGATGCCCCTAGTGGACTATTTGTGCGATTTCATTTGCGGTGGGTGGCTTGGAGAAACGTGAAGCTGGAATAGTGAGAGAAATGAAAAACTCTGACTGCCTGCCAATAGCGTTTTCCAGTGCCAGGACTGTATGATGGCAGGTGGCACAGCTTTCTCTCCCTGGGGGATTAGCCAGCGAAGAATAAAAAATAAAAGGGTAGACCTCCTCTTCTTATCCTTTTTCTCAGGCTGCCGTCCCTCCACTTTGCTTTATTGGTTCCACAGATCCAATGTAGAAGGTGTTGAAGATGAGCAGATGGAGATCATGACTGTTATTACTGCCTGCTTGGTCTCTTATTAGCCCTGCCTTACTCCTCGACACATCCTCGCTATCAAAAGCCTGTTTGGGCTCTGGGCTGGGAAGGCGAGAAGCACATGTTTTGTATCCAGCGAAATAAAGTGTCTTCTCATCACGCTCGTAATTATCTCCGAGCTGTCACATCCTATTGGATTCTCTGGGCAAGGAAAATGGGGTTTTTGTGCGTGCCGAAAAGCCAGCCGGGCAGCCCGGGCTGCCGTCGGTGGCGGCGGAGATGAGCGCGAAGAGTGCAGCAGAAAATGCCCATAGGACAACCTTCAAATCTCCCATCCACTGCGTGCAAGGATTAACTCAAATCCTGCCTGACGGAAGAGTGTTTACTCTCCCCTCAAACATCCTGTCAGAAATATCAGCTCTGCCATAGAAGTTTTTTGGACCTGAGGGGGTGTCGCCTAAGGAAAGCACTCCAGAAATGAAAACACACACACACACATATGGGGTTAAATTAAGATCCTGGGGGTGTGGAACCGTAAAATCGTGTGTTGTTGTGATTATGATGTCTAGGTTATCTACAAAATGCATGATTATCATTGTTGAAGACAATTTGTGACTATACTGTGGAAACATATTTACATAAAAACAAACACAAAGATAAAAAAATATATTGACACATATACATTATAAGTTTTTTTTTAATCTTGTTTTTCTAACATTTCTACCACATGACCTTGGTTTGTCAGACAACTATCACAGATATATTTATATATATTTTCCTGGAAATGGGTTGCGGCTGAAAGGGCATCCGCTGCGTAAAAACTTGCTGGATAAGTTGACAGTTCATTCCGCTGTGGCGACCCCGGATTAATAAAGTGACTAAGCCGACAAGAAAATTTATGAATATAACTATATATATATATATATATATATATATATATATATATATATATATATATATATATATATATATAAAATGTGGAAAAATAGTTATTAAATTAGGTCTTGATGAGCTGAAGAGGCTTTTAAAAAAAACTTTAATGTATATATATACATATATATATATACACACACACACACACACACACACAAAACCAAGATCGTATAGGAAATGAAATGCATTGACACAGCTGCCGATAATTTGTATCTATTTTTGAATCAATGTGCTGAATGTTTTTCCAGATCATTGCGTCCCGGTTTAATCCCCGCACACACATATAGACTCCCCACCCAGTATAATTAGGTGCATGTGGACTTTGTCTTTTGAGGGATGATTCGAATCGGACGACCGGCCTCATATGTGGCCCCATTTGGAGCACAAAAGACAGTCTTTTGTCAGGGTGAGAGGGTTAAGAGAGCTCATTTCACGGCAGTTTATTTGCTCAGGTCCCAAAGGGACGTCCCTCCAAGAGTACTATCAACTCCACCAGCTGGTGTTGGGACAGGACACCACAAAGACCCCCTTAAAACTGACGTCCCGTTTAAGCAGCATTTAAGACAAATGAGATGAGGGAACCTATTGAGATGAGAGAAGCTATTTTCCCTCCCTCTCTCTCTCTCTCTCTCTCTCTCTCTCTCTCTCTCTCTCTCTCTCTCTTTCTCTCTCTCTCTCTCTCTCTCTCTCTCTGTGTTTTTGTATTAGTTTTTTTTTAAGTATGAATGATGCAGACTACTTATCAAAAAATGATTTATTTTTAGGTTTCTTTTTTGGTATAAAGTAATATATATTCAATTCAATAAATATATTCAATAATAATTATATTCTCTAAATAATAAAAAAAGACTATAGTCATAGAGTACTATGTAACTGTATAGCATTTGAATTTTGATGGCATAATATATACATATTAAACTGTCATTTTATTGTTATATTGCGCATGTTTTTAATGGACATCATAATTTCTCCAGGGGCAATTTATTTTGATTGGAGCACACTGACAAATTTTGTACTGTAAATTTCATGTTATGTAAATGTTATTCAAGTGCATCTAATTATTGTCAATGTACTATTATGTAAATAAATAATGTAAACAATAATGTTTTGTTAGTTATTGTGTTTACTAACATGGACTAATAACAAACAGTACTTGTACATTATTTCTTAATCATAGTTTACACATTTACTAATGCATTATTTTTAAAAAGTTACATTAGTAAATGTAGCATGAGTTAACACAAACAAACAATGTCTTTTGGTAATATTATAAGGAAACATAACATCTCTTTTCACTTTTATGCAGATGACTCTAAGTTGCATTTTCTTTTAAAATATCAGAACTCCCTGCAGACTCTAATTGATTGTCTTGAGGATGATAAATGTTGGATGGCAAAAACCGTCCTTCAGCTTAATAACGACAAAACTGAGGTTATTCTCTTCGGCCCATCAAGAATGTCTTAAATTGGGGGCTTGGGAAGTCTTACAACACATGTTAAATTGCAAGTATAAAATCTGGGAGTTATCGTTGATTCAGAGCTTTGTCTCAAAAAACAAATTAGCTCAGTCATTAAGAATAGTTAATTTGAGCTGAGCATCATCTTCAGAATCCATTCTTTCCTTTCAAGATCTGGAAAAAGTCATTCATGCTTTTATCACGTCCCACCTAGACTATTGCAATTCCTTGTATGTTGGTCTTCCTTCAATCTTCATTGGCACGGTTGCAGCTGGTTCAAAATGCAGCAGCTAGACTTTTAACAGGCACCAAAAAACATGCTCATATCTCACCAGTTTTAGCATTCTTTCATTGGCTTCCTGTTAATTTTAGAATTCAGTTCAAGATTTTACTTATTGTTTTAAAAGCACTGAATGTGCAAGCACCTTTCTGATATATCAGAACTTATTAATACAGTCAACTTCTCTGTCTCTTTGGTCGTCAAATAAAATTTTACTGATATAAAAAAAAAAAAAAAAAAAAAAATATATATATATATATATATATATATATATATATATATATATATATATATATATATATATATATATAAACTCAGGTTTTATGGCAGCAACGTTTTTTGAGATCTTGTGTTTTATATTGTGTATTGAAGAGTACAACAAAAAAAAAACAATAACAAAGATTTATGGAAATGACTAAAACTGAAATTTTAGTCATTTTCAAAAATGATGATTTTGCAAAAAGTTTGAAACATAAGACTTTCAAGAGATGGGGGCAATTTTCACTATCAATAGTACAGTATTCCAAATTATTATCTGCATTAAATGGCATTTACAGTGATTAAATGTATCATCTTCAAGACAGGACTTTCTGTATGAAATTTGTATAAAATCTACAATAAAATCAAAGAGAAAAACAAGTTACTTTTTTACATTTACATCTTCATCTACAGTAGAGGTGAATGAGGTGCAGAGAAGCTTACTTGCTGATAACAAAGCCTGTTGTTATCAATCATTGTTTACTTCATGAAATCAGTTCAATGGTGAAGGGATTGATCAACTAGACTTATTGATAGGAGGTTTGCGAAGAAATTTCATGCTCCATTTTGTAGTATTTTCAAAATACTGTATTTTATTTTCATACTTGTTATGGCTGCTGTTTATTTTGATGCATGTAAAACTGAGGTATTTGGTATTTTATTTTAAAATACATTTCAGTGTATTTTTGGCCATCCCTGCCTGTAACATCAAAGCTAAATTTCCTGCAGCGGTTAATGTCACACTGTCCTTCATAAATGATTCTTGTATGCTGAATTAGTGCTCAAGCATTTACTATTAATGCTATTAAAGCAGTTTGTGATGCTTAATATTTTTGCAAAAACTCATATATTTTTCTTAATGAATATGACATGCAAAACAGTAAAGCATTTATTTAATATGCATATGTTTTACTAAAAATGTATTTGCCCCTTTAAATCATTTGTTTGATGCTTCATTGCTGAATAAAAGTTTTTCTTGTAACAGCAGTGGATTAATAAGATTAATGACAGCTATTATAAATCATTTCCCATGTATCTTTCATTTGATTCTCTTTGGTGTATGTCTTGAACTGCGTTTGTTGAACTGGTCCTTTTTCTTCAGGTTCACAGGCGCTCAGCGGAGAGGCTGCTGGACTTGTGTTGTGCGAACAGAGGCACCTTCATTAAAGTAGGCCAGCACCTGGGAGCCCTGGAGTACCTACTGCCTGAGGAGTACACCAGCACGCTGAAGATCCTGCACAGCAGAGCTCCGCACAGCAGCATGGAGCACATCAGACAGGTCATACGAGAAGACCTGGGGAAAGAGGTACGTTTTTCACTGTCTAAAAAAACACAAAACAAAACCTAAAATAAATTGTTTTGGTAATCAGGAGTGGCAGTGCTTCTCTGTCAATGTCGGTTTGACGGCTTCAACCAAAATATTCTTACCACACCATACTAACCATTGGTTTGCTATGAGGGAATGATGCACAAAAAGAAAGCCCCACTCCCTACTCAATATTATGTTTTAGTAGTAAGCACGTCAACATACTTAAATAAAAGTCTTTGCAACTTCCATTTTATGCAAACTTTAAAGAAGATTTTTAAACTGTGGTTTAACTTTATTGGTTCATAAGATGCACGCAAATGACTACTAGCACTTTGACAGTTAAAAAAAAAACAAAATATCTTTCAATATATTGTGAAAAAATGTGGCTTCTGATGATTCATTGACATCTCAGGTAGTGAAATGATCAGCTCGTGCAAGAAACTGAACATTAAATACTTAATTCAACTATTGCCTTTAATCCAGAGTCTCAGCAAACATTCACAGTAACAAATGAATCATTCTTTTGAAATACAATATTTTAGTGAATATTTTTTGAGTTAATCATATTTGATCCAGCACAAATCTCAACAAAACTTGCTTTTTAGTCGTCACTGACAGGCTCAAAATGGTTCAATATACAGTACGGCTTTATTCAATCTAACAATGTCAGTGACTGAGCTTATGAATCAGTTCCAAGTCAAGCACATAAAAAGAAACAATAAAGTTGTTCGGTTTCCACATGTTTTTTACAAGGTCTGTATGATGAAGACGTGTTTGTTCAGTATATATGCATTAGGCATGTGTGTTTTACATTGTTATTTGGTTATTTTAATAATCGCATTAACAAGTTCATTGTTTGTGATTTACAGATAATTTTTTCTGTATATTTACTGTTATAAATTGCATTGAGGAACATTCATCTCTTCTTTATCAACTTTTGATGTTAAAAATAATGTATTGTACAATAAATGATATGTAGTGAATTAATAACAAAAAAGCACTGGTGGTTTATTACCAAGTGTTTGTAACCTAATGACGTTTGACAATCAGAGCATCAGTATTCACAAGTATTATTTCTATGTATAATAAATAATAAACAAATAACAAATATGTATTAAATGTTTTAACATTATGTTTTACTTTCAAAGTGCCAATAAAATGATCTAAAAGTCTCTTTAGCGTATATATATATATATATATATATATATATATATATATATATATATATATATATATATATATATATATATATAGTTTTGGCATAATATTAGCTCCATACTCCAAAGATGTTGGTGAACTGTTTGTGTGAATTTTTTTTTCACAGTATGTCTGATAATATTTTTTCATCTGGAGAAAGTTTTATTGTTTTTTTTGGGGCTAGAATAAAAGCAGTTTTTTAAACACCATTTTAAGGACAATATTATTAGCCCATTTTATTAGCCAATTTTATTATGTGCGACCATAGGCATCTATTAAAATACATGAGTTTATTTTTTACATTAGGCTATATGTAGATTAAAAACACATTTTTTTTTTTTTTTACCTATTTCCAGACCCGGCCCCGTTGATTTGGATTTCTGTTTTTGAATTTTAGAATGTTAAATTTGTTACTCTGAATTTCTTCATCTTGAAAACTTGAAACTGTATTTTTACAAACTCAATATCTGCAGTCTATACATTCAGATCAAAAAAGTTTAAAAATACATCTGTAAAAACCTGACTTAAAAATTCAGTTGTCTTGAGTTTTAGATGTTTAATATTCAAGTTAATAAAATGAAACTCAAATTAATAAATTCATATTAATAAAATCTAATTATTTAATTCAAATTCAATTGAATAAATTCAAATTAATAGATTTTAATTCAAATTAATAAATTCGAATTAAAATCAATGAAATGAAATAAAATTTGTTTAATGGCTTGTAATTTTCAGTTTTATTAAATTACAATGACTAATAATTCAAATGAACATAATTCAGATTCAGATTGTTTTGGCATATTTTAGGCGTGAGTAAATTAATTGCAAATTTAGATTTTTGGATGAACTCACCCTTTAATGATGTAAATCACACACCCTCAGTCTTTACCGCAGGCTACTCTTGTAGAGCCGCGATCTGTTATTCAGTAATTGTGCAGGTCCCTGTGGGTGGACAGGGTTAATGTCACACGAGAGAAGCTGCGGTCTCCCTCGTTCTCTCCTGTCAGTGTTTTGTGTCTCTCGTCAGAGCAGTCGTCCTGAAAGTGCTTCATCTCAGGAACGCTTTGACAGGTGTTTACATTTCGCTGGAGATAATTGTTCAGTTCTGAAGATGACCCATGCAAATCATGCATCAGCTCGTGTCCCAATATTTTGTATTTGTATCCGGCTGTTTCTCACATTACACAGGAACAAACCATCTCATTTATGCGGCTTGTTGAGTAGAGGTGTTTTGTGTCTTTTTGAGATGAAACGGAAAGGAGGCATTCAAGACATTTTGTAGAGGTGAGAAAATAATAGATGTGCAGTCTAGTTTTCTGTCAATAAAGCAGATAAATATGGATGTTCAAACTTGTTTGTTTCTATCAGTCTAGACTGGAGGTGATTCTAGAACCTTTTATTTTATGTCCTGAGTTTTTGGGATAAGAAAACTGCATTCGCAATATGACTTTAAGGTTCTTAAAGTGCTTTAAAACGTGTTTTTTTTTTTTCAATTCTATTTTATTTTATTCACACTATGCTATCCAAACCATGCCCATGCCCGTTTCCCAGATCGTTTGAGAAGTGTGAGTGCTCTGAATCGGGCTCAGGCATGATTCACTTGGCTGGCCTTGGCCCGGTTGGAAGAGGTGGGCCAGACTGCGGTTCAATTGAGGACTATTTCATATGGATTTATTAATCATTCTTCCTGTTTAATGAATCCAAACTGTTGTAGTTTATTAAAGACGCAAACCCCTCACTGCATGACAGTTGCACCTTTAGCAAACCTCATAAATCCTGCAGCACGAGGACTTTATGATTGTTTATGAGCATCAAAAGTGTCTAATCTGTTCTGCGAAATTTTTCACAAGTCTGTCTAGATGACAGCAGCCGGAATGATATAAAAGAGTACCTAAAAAGTCCCCAGCTAGGTAACTAGGTAACAGCACTGAGTAATATTATTGTGCCTGCTGCAGCATGCTGGTAGCAAATTTCCATGATTGGTATGCTGGAATGAAAGTTTAGTTTCTATAATTTTTCTTAGTACACAGTGTAACTACAGAAAAGAAAAACTTTAAATACACTGTGAAACCCAAAAAGTTAAGGTAAAATAAACTATTTCAGGAAACTGATTGAAACAAACCATATAAGTTTAAATACTAATCCTATTGAGTACTTTGAACTTAATCCATTTGAGTAAATGAAGAAATATAAGCACAGTAAAAGCCAATAAATGAAAAGAACTCAAACCAACTGAGTACTGTAAAATCTAATAAGATAAGTCAACTAAAACCGGTTGAGGAAAACAGATTGCTGCAAACCATTTGAGTTAAAAAAACTAATCTATGTGAGTACTGTGAACTCACTCCATTAAAGTTGAAGTAATAAGGTATTTAAGGAACTCCTTACCTTCAGGACTCTTTTCAAATGAGTAGAATTAACTTTTAGTAAAATTTGAGCTACCAACACTCAATTCATTTGACAAAGTTGACTGTTGGGTTTTATAGTGTAGGAAATGTGTCAAAACCCTTTTTGATGTTTTTTTGAGCGACATGCTAATGGTCTAATCCAATTCAACTGCTAATCTAATGTAAAAGTGCTCCCACCAGACCCAGAGATCAGCTGAAGTGATTTAAAAATGATAAATCTCAACTGTTGAACTCAAGGTGACTTGTAAAATTAGCCTTTTTTTCCCCACAAAAAGGTGGAGTGTTCCTTTAAACAAGCAGTTCTCAATTCTGGTCTTTGCCCCCTACCCTCAATAAGAGACATACAATATGCGCAGAGCGGGAAGGGGGCTTAGGACCAGGATTGAGACCAACTGCTTTAAACCAATGTTGGTCCCCTATTGACTTTCAATGTATTTTTCTCACCAGGATTGAAGTCATCAACTGGGGATCATCAACTTTTTGGTTACTGACGTTTTTCAAAATACTATATCTGCTTTTGTGTTTAGCAGAGGAAAAAATCTTCAGGTAAATAAGTAGTGAGTAAAATTTCATTTTGAGGAGTTTTTCTTCTTGTCTAAACAGTCAATTCACTCCAATATACATCATGGTAGTAATATAAACCACAATTTAAACTTCCATTTCAAACCACCCTTAATATATTCCCACACGATGCAATGGCAAATCTCTTCACTTTCCAGAATTCCAGGCACAGTCAAGGTCAGATAACTTGTCAGTTCTGGTGAAATGACCTTGAACGAGAAGGACATCTGGAACCTGTAATCAGTCAGCCAGAGTCTGAGCAGGTAACCGTTAAAATGCGACCCTCCCTCGTCTGACCTTGAGAGGGCTACGCTTGTACCCGTCGCCTCTGGGGTGATGACTGCATCTTTACAGTTTTATTATTGTAATTATTAGCTCTAATAGATCAGTCTGACTTCTTGCTTCACTGCCTTTCCACCTCCCATTTTTCTCCCTCTCAACACAAGCCTATGACAACTGCAGCATTACGTAATTCCAGCCAGGTCACGACTGGCTTGTGGAGGTTTAGGCTTTTTTATTTATTTTTTTGGCTGTGTGTGTGTGTGTGCGAAATAAGAAGCATTGGAGATGGCGCTGCTGCTGTGTGTGTCGGGAACTGGAGATGGACCCGTCACGGCTCGTTGGGCTCAGTGCGGCAGGAGAATAATCCGTCTGCCTCCGTGTCACAATAAAAGTCCCCTCAGTACTCTCTTTTTGTCTCTCGTCCTCTCCATTACAGTCTCTGCATACAAGCGTGTGGATATGTAGATTAGCTGAGGATTGGGCTTCTAATGTTGTGTAAGAATAATGTGTTTTGGTATGCTCTGTGTCAGGTCAGCGCAAGTGTTTTTA